TGTACACTGATACCCACAAAGAGTCTCAATCCATGTTTCAAAAATCGAACCCTCACATTACGGCTACCAGCAAGGCTGAGTATACCTCAACATTATCCTTTACACCACTGAAATATGCTCTGGGGGCAACTTTGTGCTTTGTAATTATTATGTGATCATGATCATAAATTGTGTATTATTGTTATCATTACAAATTAATTAAATTATAGGTCACACTGTTTCATCATAAATCACAAAATATAATCACCTAATTTTTGAAAAATTTCAACAAATTTGTTATTTTTGGAAAAGTATTTTAAACGTTTGTAATCATGTATTTTATACTTAAATTAATCCATCTAAAATGTGAATTGAATTAGACTCGAATCATCTTCCAAATTTGAAGATTGAGCTTACTTCCCAAATCTATTAATGTTATTACTATTTGTGGAAGAGAACTCCAAACATGCACATGTCTATATTATAGTGAAGCGCTTCAATATCAATTAAGCTGCGTCAATCATGGCGTGGATCTACTGTGTGGGGCCCCTTGCTTGAAGTCCATTAGAATCATCTATTAGTTGTCCCATTTTTGGTCTCTCTGCACTAATATAGTTGCTGTATCTAAATGAAGTCTCCAAGGCAGCTTTAAATGCAATTCATACAGCACCACTTTAATCGATAAGTTATATAATGTCGAACACTATGATTCCTTTCGCGTAAATTTTAATAATTTATTTAAATTCCCTAATCTAAAAAATTTTTATTTTAGAAAATAAGAAACTGCTATATTAATAATTTAAACAAAAGACAAAATTTGACTAATATTTTTTAAATTTCATCTATAGTTTTCATACAAGACCTTTTTTTTTTTTTTGCTACACCGACTCTTCTCATTGTGATAATTTGTCCTTTTGGGTAAAAATGACCCAAATATATTTTTCAAATAATAAAAAATAAAAATAAAAATAAATCTGAAGATGCTTTTGAAAATCTAAGTGAACTCCATTGATTGAGATCAACTGTTCATTGAAGACGTTTAAATAATTTTCAGTGGCACAGAAAGGAATATATCGAAGGCAGAAATTTGTTTTTAGCGAAGAGATCCCAGTAGAACATGTAAGGAAAGGGAGAGGCGAACATGAGCTTGCATAGCCCGATGTACTTATAAAAGATTTTATTTTAATATATTTTTCAGCACATGGAACAATATCAGAGTGAGAAAAAGGATTCATATAGCCTAAATTTATTCAGAACATGCAATTTTTTCCTCAATGTCTTGTATTTTGTGAGAACCAAGGCTTTACCCATTTGGATTGGGGCAAAAATGATGGGTAATATACAGGTGTTAAAAGTACCCTATTGAAAAGGCTGCCATAAAAAAGAAAGATTAGATTTAATCTTAGAATGAAGAGACTCATAAGAATAGAGATGTTTCTCCATGGGAAACCATGATTTGCAAGTGAAGCAGCATTGGATGTTGTGTGATGAAAACTATTCCAAAATTAAGAATGTTGGTAGGCATATGGGAGAGATATCCATGTTTCATATGGGAGAGATATCCATGTTTTCTTAATAATCTCTTCATTTTCGCCTTACATTTGATAAGGTCGCCATAAACGCTAACAAATGGAGGTGACGCTTACATGGTGCTTGTGTCACGTTCTGAATCAACCTAAAGAGGTCGTGGTTCATAAGTGTGAATGTGTGATCAATTTTATAAAAATCGGACCGGATTAGTCTGTTCAACCAGGAACCAGTCCAAAATCCGGTTCGATTAAAACTATAAACCACTTAATATAAAACCAGTTAATTGGCCGGTCTATTCACTAACCAAATGACTCGGAACCAATTTTGCCGGTTGATTGGCTGTTTAAAAATTATATATTAATCACCTTTAAGCCTCTTGAAATAAAAGGCCTAAAGAGATTGTTTACATAATTTAATCTTTTTACTTAAAACTCCGTTACCTTCAGAAAGGCTACAACTTTTAAACAAGAACCATGTCTCACGTACAGGGCAGATGCTCACAGGTCTCTGCTAGGACAAACACAAGGAGCAGGACTTGTGTGCGAATTTTTTATTTTTTTTTAATGCAAGTCGGACCTACCAACCTGCCATCTCTAGTGAAGGGCCTATAAAGCCCCTGTATGAATAGTGCCCTGTACTCAGGGCATTATTCTTTAAACAAATAACTACGTTTAAACCTATATATGGCATTTTGGGTTGCGTTTTTAATGACGAAATTTCATTTTCTCCTTCTTTGGTGTAATTAAATTTTCAGTATATTATTTTGCTTCAATTTTATAATACTTTTTTCCACGAGTTACAGCCTACAGGAATGCATTTTTGAGTGGTTTTGAGATTAACTAAATTGGTAATTACATAAAACCCTAGAGTTAAAAATTAGGGTTCAAAAATCATATAAGTAGTTTAATAGTTCAAAAATTAGATTTTCATCTTTAAATTAAATACTAATTACACCCGAATTTCAATCCAATCCGCCTTATCTCTCTATCAATTATAATCCATTTTCTCTCTCTTCATCTCCTTCTCTCTCTATCAATTATAATCCATCTCTTTCTCTCTCCTCAAACTCTCTCTCTCTCTCTCTCTCTCTCTCTAGCAGCTCAAGAAATGTTTAGGAGGTGATATTTCTATTTTCACTCTCCCCACCCGAATTCAACTTCACCGGCAGCTTCATCCCCAGGTTGTGTCGTCTCTTTCAGACGGTAGCGCAGCGATCCGTGGCCTCATCTTCACCGGCGGTTACAGTTCGCATCTCGCTCGAGTCTCCACAATCTGTCTCCACCACCGATTTCTATGGCTGTGGATCTGTTGTCGGCGTGGTGGATTTGTGGGTGTCGGCTGATGATATTGGATCTCTAATTTTGGATTAATTTTTTGGATCTGTAATGCGCCAGTGGTGGCATTGGGCGGATGAGTTCTGGTTTTGGTTCTAACGTTGGGCTGGAGGAGAATGGGGAGGAGGACAATGTTGGTTGTAGATGGTGGTTTATGTGTCGGATGGCATGGGTGACCCGATCTGGTGCTTTTTTTTTTTTTTTTTTTTTTATTTGGTTGATTGTGATCATTAAACTGATTAATCTGTGACCAATAGAAATCGATGAAGAAAATAAATTGTGACCAATGTGACATAAAAAAATCAATTTGTGACCGTCTAATGACTGTGACCAATACATAAATTGTGACGTATTAATTTTAGATCTGTGACCGATTAATAAATTGTGACCTATAATTTTTTTTAATTGTGACCGTAAAATAATTTGTAATATTTAAAATTATGATTTCTGATCGAAAAATAATATATGACTAATTAAAATATGAATCTGTGACCAAATGTATAGATATGTAACCTTAATTTATGACAAAATCGAATAAATTGGATAATAATTCAATCATTAAATCTGCAATTTTTTCATCAATCGTGAATAATTGTCTTCTGTTGCGTGAATAATTATGTGGGTTTAGGATGTAAATATGTATTTTAAAGAGTTTGTTCAAGTATGGAAACTGGATGCTTAATTTTAGGGATTTAATTGCAACAAAATCCTCTCTCTCTCTCTTAGTTTTGAAATTAAAAATTTGTCATCTTAAAACTGAAATATAGCATAGTTAATGTAGGGATTATGAAAGTTTCCCTTAACTAAAAATGCATTCTACTCTTAAACACAATTTCTTGAGATTTCAATTTATCTTTATAACATCACAAGAATTTCTCAAGTCTCGATGACAATGAGTTTCATCTTTAGTGTACCTGTTAGTTTTGTCGTATGCATATTTTCTTTATGAACCACAAATCTTATACTAAATTGTTCCCATGTTTAAATTCCTCATTGAATTCTAGCTTTTAAGTAAAAGACAATACGTAAACTCATAAGTAAAAGACAATTATTCTAGATCGTCATTTTTCTCTTGCCAGTTAATTATGAATATGGACCTTTTGCTACCCACGGCTAATGCATTATTCTCTCCATCTCCTCAACTAAATTGGGAACAAAAAACTACAAAAGATATGTAGTAAAATTCCATCCCTAACCCCACAAAATAGACATAATGTATACATGCACGTCATGAAGTGGAATCATGGAATTTTGCCTAACTATTCGATTATGACATTTGAACAAAAAAATAATAATAAATCTTAATGAAATAAATAATGCTTTACACAGTTTTTTCTGCCCAACACTTAGGCAGTTAAGGTTTGACATATCAATATAGTACTATAACATCAAGTTGACCCTTTTTTGCACCCATGAAAAAACCCATTCGGCATCTTTAATAAGCTCGATTAAATTAAATTAGTTTACTTTAGTTAATTCGCTCAATTTAACATACTTGTCAAATATGTGAGAGTATAACAATTTCGTAGGATCTGTCGACTTAGATTTGTCAATCTCATTAATCTTGTTCAACTTAATAAACGAATATACTCAGTATATATTTTATTTAAACGATCTCAGTTGAACTTGGATTATTTGCCAAGTTTATCTTATTCAGTTCAGTGCAGATATCAAATATTTCATTAGAATGCAATGATATCACAACTTCAACTTAATTAGATTTATCGATCAAGTTCATCATGTTCAATTCAACATACATACCAAAGACGTGATGAGAATCAAATGATCTCACAATCTCGATCGAATTAGATTCGTTGCTCAAAACAATCATGTTCACTTTAACATACGTGTCAAATACAAAGTTATTACAATTCAAAGATTACCAAATTAAACTTGCTGCTTAAATCAATCATTTTAATCTCTCTACCCCATCCGTGTATGATTAAACAATTATATATTTTTGGCGTATAAGTCATATAATTATGATTAGCATATCAATATTTAATCTAACAACCAGTCTAAATACGAGTCATTTAGGGTAATGTTAGGCACGTTCGAGAAACCCCACATTAGAAAATTATAAAATAAAGACAAAAAGACAAAGAAAATGATACCCACGACCTGCCATACACGTCCTCCACAAACCACACACTATATAATTTCTTCTTTTCCAAAAACCCATCAGTTCACACACACACAAATTCTTATCTAAGTACAGCCTGAAAATCAGCACGAGAATGCCAGGGTTGTGGATGAGTCGAGCTGCTGTTTGTGTTCGTGCTTGTGTCCGTGTTCATTCGCCAACTGTGCAGTACAAGAAGAGTGCAAGTTTTATAGAGGGTCGAGAGAAATCCGATGCTTCAAGTGAAGTTATTAATGAACCAAATTTCAACAATTATTTGTCGAAATTGGAATCTGAATGTGGGAATAGAGTGATGGTGGTGATCGATTCGAGCCCGGAATCTAAAGGTGCTCTAGAATGGGCACTCTCTCATACTGTTCAAGCACAGGATACAATTATTCTCCTGCATGTTGCCAAACAAGGTAATGACTTTTTTGCATTATTTCTTGATCAAGAAAATATCGCAGGAAATTTTGTAGTCACGTTCCCCAAATTATGGCATCCAAAATTGGACCAACCAAGTATCGAGAGGCATAGTTTGGAGATCGTGAGTGCAAATTTCTAAATATGATAAAATTACATTTACATGATAATAAGTAGTAAAAGTTTATGTTTACAGATGAAAATTATAATGGAGAAATTAATCAAAGGGCATACGAACTTCTTCATTCCATGAATAATGTATGTCAGTTAAGAAGACCTGAGGTGAGTAAATTATCCACTTCCAGTTCAATCTGCTTATTTTAAATAATATAAATTTTCTGTCTTTGTTTCAATAATACATTTGGCGAGCTAGGTTGTCTTTTTGGATAAGACGACCATATATATATATATATATATATATATATATAAACGGTCTTTACATAAACAAAAACCAAGTCTCATTCTCTTTAATAACAAATTTTTAGTATGATTTAATGTATGTTATGATGAATTAGGTGCACGTGGAGATGGCAATTCGAGAAGGAAAGGAAAAGGGAGAAATAATAGTTGAAGAAGCTAAGCAAAGACAGGTTCTATTACTGGTTTTGGGACAGCGAAAACGCTCGATAATATGGAGATTACAGAGGTTTTTGTCCGCAGAATTAAAGAAGAAAAATAGGATCGTAGATTATTGCATTCAAAATGCTAATTGCATGACAATTGCAGTGAGAAGGAAGAGCAAGAAATATGGAGGATATTTGATTACTACTAAAAGTCACAAAAAATTCTGGCTTTTGGCTTGATTTTCACTTTGTTTTAATCTTATAATGGAATTATAAATGTGGCTATAAAGTTCATGTATGTAATTCAAGTTTTCATGATTGTACCTATTGATTTGGGGGTATATATATGTAAACCAAATGAACAAATCTTTGGATAATTAGGAGTATAAAAAATTTGGAATTTTGATACTCATTTGATAAAACGTTGTCCATCTAACATCTATGAAATGTTATGTTGTGTTGTTTTTTGCCGGACAAGAGGAGCAATGTGCATGAGTCTTTTCAATCCCATACTTGTATGGGTCATCTCCTTTAGAAGACTTGAAAAAAGCGGCTTATGTTAGCTTTTATTATTGAAAAATTGGCTCAAATCACACGAAAAGTAACCGGCTTATGTTAGCTTTTAAGTCTTCTATATTCTGCTTAAGATCTAATTGCAATAGATATTGTACTAGATCTAACAATGAAGTGAGGGGAATGAAAAAGAATGATTTTTGTAGACAACCCCCAAATTTACCGAGAACAAGGTTTAGAATTACTTTAACCGAGAAGGAAATGAAAAAAGAACGATTCTTGTAGCCATAGCCATCTCTTCAACATCCCGCCATTCTGATGAGGACATCCATTTGATTAATTTTTTAATTTTATTATTTTGGACTATTAAATTGGGTTTGTATTTGGGCCTAACCCAAGCCCACAACTTTATCTACAAGTGGTGTATTGGATGTGAAAGACGGCAGACGATGATTGGAAATTTATAGACTTTGTTCCCACAGTTTTCTTCTCCCTCTCTCTAGTATTATTCTTTTTCCATTTCTTCTTCTGCTTCTTCCTCTTCTTTCCCTGTTCTTCCCTCCCTCTATCCTCTCTTGTTCTTCTTCTTTGTCTTCTGCTGTTGCATTTTCTTCTCTTCCTCTGCTCTCTTCTGTGACTTTAGTTCCCTGTTGGAATACTTCAACTAATTCTACATCAAAGTAGTATTAGAGCTAACTTGGAAAATATTTTAGGTGTTCATCTCTTCTACAACCCAAGAAACAATCTGCTACTGCAAAATCCAAAACCGTCTTCTTCTACAACTACATTTCTAAGCCACAACCTGTTGCAAATCTCACCAAGCCGACGTCACCTCGCTTCCAAAAGCCCATCGTACCACAACGGTGTTAAGGTATTATATCCCACATCGAATAATGATGAAAATAAATACCAATCCTTTATAAATTGGTATTTATTTTCATCATCATTCGATGTGGGATATAATACCTTAACAGGCCCCCTCAAGATGGTAGCTCACTTGCAAATCTTGAAATTTATGGGTTGGCTCTGATACCATTTTAAAGTTTGGGATCCATCTTAATGAGGTCAGCCTTATTAAATGGAGAAGTTCAATCCTTTATAAATTGGTATTTATTTTCATCATCATTCGATGTGAGATATAATACCTTAACAAACGGGTTCTCCTCTAAAATCCAAAGCCATAGATACTTCGAACCTTCGACACAGATTTCACAGATTGTTGTTTGGTTCTTTTGGGCCAAAATTCCCTTGTCATGGGTATCTGCCTCTACTTTTCTTATATGGACCTTGGTGATAGTTGGGTAATGAATTAATGTTGGGCCATATGTTAATGTATGGGTAGTGTGAGTTTTGGGTCTGAATTTATATCCTATTTTTTTTATGTAAGAGTTAATATATGAATTGATTTGTTAAAAAAATGAGGAACAGAAAAGAGAAAAGAGGCAAAAAAAAAAAAAAAAGGAAGAGAAAAGTGAAAAAAATGTATTTTCTAACATTATTTGGTAGGTACCTCTTTGTATTATCTTGATCGGCCCAATTACTTCAGCGAACAAAGGAAAGTTACTGTTTTAATATATCTTCGGTTTATATTACTGTTAATATAAAATTGCATCAATTAATTTTCTGTGCTGCTATTATTCTAAGTATTTTACCTAAAATCATATAATTGAATCCTTGTTAAACCCCACTTATTTTACGTGATTAGATTTTGACTAGTAATTTTGACCCTCATTTTGTTATTTTACATATATCGGCAGTAGGCTTGCCATATTTGGACTTATTTAATTCCAAACTTTTAATTTAAATGCTCAAATTGCTATTTTTTGTTACTTGCACTTGTTGTTCATTGATCTCTCCATCGCAAGACATTTAGTTGGTATTACATTACATGCAATTGTGTAGTAGTCGTCTCGTCACCTCTAATTTTAATTTAAATGCTCAAATTGCTATTTTTCGTTATTTGCACTTGTTGTTCATTGATCTCTCCATCACAAGACATTTAGTTGGTATTACATTGCATGCAGTTGCGTAGTAGTCGTCTCATCGCCTCTAGTTCCAGTACCTTAACAATGGACCCCTCACAATTTGATACAGTCATCCAACAAATAGCGGCTATCTAACTCCAAATGACTGCAACTCTTAAAGAGAGTAGAGGTCTAGCTGCTAGTTTGAACAGTTTTAAGAAAATCCCTCACTCGACTGATGAAGATAATTCTGAAGTGTTCCATAATAGACAATATCATTTCGACAAGGTGATGAAAAATGTTTTCGACACTGTAGGAATAGGGATCAGGTTCATGAGCAAGAACAAGGCTATAACCATCCCGATTCTCATTCTCTTGCTTGTCATAAGAAGGGTTTCTTTAGATACATTAAATTAGGCATTCCTACTTTTTATGGTTGCTTAGATCCTAAAACTCTAACCCAATGGGATACCCTTGCACAAAGGGATCGGCTAGTGATTGAGTACATTGCTCAATTTGAGGAATTTCTAATAAAATGTCATATCATTGAGGATGAGGCCTCAACTTTAAGTAGGTTCAGATAAGGTCTAAGAGAAGATCGAACGCGTGAACTTTTCCTTAGAGGTATTACTAATCTTGATCACGCTTACTCTTTAACTCGAGATTATGAGTTATTTATTAGTATTCCATATGAAAAGCGCGATCACCATCATTCACCCATTTCATTAGTGCCACATCATCATAAGTCTATCATAGAATTTCCTTGTCTAATGTTCTTCCCGTTTGAGAAAATAATTGTAAAGATTGTGATATTCCAAGGCCTTCTTCTTCATGCAAAAGGTGTATTAACAATCACCCTTCTGCTTCATTGGCGCCACTTCCTCCTGTTAAGTCCCTTGTAGGGATGAGATGTTCTTCCTGTCAAGGAAATAAGGGTGAAGACTTGAAATTCTAATGACTTCTTCTCACTTGCAGTGCTTCAACTGTAAGGATTTTGGCCACATTTCTTCCAAATTTTCTAATCGAGTCTTAGTTATTGAAGTACGGAATAATGTAATAAACGAGTCATTAGAAGATCTAGTTTTTGAACGGAAGATTCTGATGACTTGGATGATAGTGAGGACACATCCTTAGGTGGTATCCAGACGCTTTCGAAAAATCTAGATATTATACCCCTTCTTCCAGATTCTCTCAGTCAACTTTTGTATGTAGAATCCTTAACCAATCCAAAGTTATTGATGATTTGCATAATCATACCCTATTCAAGGAAAATCTTGGGAATTGGGAATTGATCCTCCCATCTATTGAAATTGCATATATCAATTCGGTGAATCGATCTCTA